TTTAAGCATCTAATTAAAGTGTGGGCCGGACTATATGTGTAGAGACCGGATCCATTAGGGTTTGTATTTGACGATGGGCCGAATACATATGGAAATATATAAAGGGTTATGGTCCCCAATTCATATGTGATTTTCTCATTCTATGTGACATCATATCAACACAAAAATACAAGAGAAAGCATATGAAGAGGAAAATTCATAAACCCACAATCAGAAATCAAGAAGGTGGTTTGAAGCAACAAAATTGAAGATTTACAAATCAAAATTCAAGATTTATTATTTAAGTCAAATCAATGGATTAATATATGTTCCGCATTAATTCGATTTCTTGATGGTTTGACATAAAAATCTTAACAAGTTCATAAAGTTTAAGTTTCACCTATAAAGTTCCAACATAATGTTCAAAAGAAGTTTTTAGAATTGAAATGAAACTTGTCTAATACTAATTTTTATAAGAATTTCTTTGTTCAAAACAGGTTTTAAAAAAAGTCACGTCGAATCAATTTCCTCTTAAAGCTTTTCTAACTAACATTTTATCAACTCTTACCAAAATTTATTAAAAATTTGAATTTTAACTACACCAAACAAGAAATTAATTTACAGAATGTTGCACCATTGTCCCATCAATTTAGCTTATACATATAAATAGCTTGCCGAGAATAATCTCAAATGATAGAAATCAAACTAAACTTGTATTAATATTATTTCAAACTTCATTAATTAAGCATAAACAAGCCATTCACGAGTTAAATATAATTTTAAAACAATTACAATGCAGAAATATTGCTTTCTTGATCTTCTTGTTTTCTCTCCTCTCATCTCTTCTCCGCAGTAAAGATTCATCTGTTCATCTCATCTCAAACGGGTGAAAAATAAACAAAATATAAGTTGAATGCATGATAAGCTGAATCCAATAACATTGAAATGTTAAATGGGTGAAAATACAGTAGCCAGCCCCTGATCCACTTTAATGAGCAGTTTGTCATAAGCCATCAAGCTCTTTTGGTCACACTTGTATGTTCCTTTACCTCTGGCCAGAACCTCACCATCCACATCGATGATCCCATCCTTGGCCGGGTTTTCAGTTCGGGAGCCAGGCTGCAAGACGAAAGCCTTCACCTGTGATCGATTTCAAAAAGTTAAGAATCAATGGTTACGTATATGTTCAAACATACTGTTAACGATACAAGCTCAAGTTCACTTGCCTGCTAGATCCACATTCCTAATATGTTTTTTAAATAAAAGAACATGTTTGGCTAAGCTTAAAAAGTTTACTTATAATTAAATTAAGCTTGTTTCAGATGAATAACTTTTCTAATAGTTCAAGTTAGAAAATAGCAAGTTACTTATTTCCAAGGGTAAGAGTTATTTTAGAATAAAAAACTTTTTAGCTTCAAAATAAGAAAAAAAAAAAATAGAAAATTATTCAAACACCGAAAACAAATATTTTTTTTTTGATAAGTAATCAGAAACTTTTATTCATCATAGGATAATACAAGGGGAATGTATTATCAATTTAGACAACACAAACGACATGAAATTAGGCAACCCATCTACATGATTAGGAGCTACAGTATTAAACCAACTA